ACAGTGTGGGGGTGGCCGCAATTATTTTATTAAGCCAGAGGGAAGACAAAGAATACATTGCACCGGCTTGGGGTCAGTAATGATTTTACAGCTTCATTAGCTGTGTGTTGTCACAATCTCTGCTCTCGGTTCGTCTGTAACTTTACCAAAATTTTGTATATTTCCGTAAACTTTTAGAAACTTAAACGTAAACAGTGTGGGGGTGGCCGCAATTATTTTATTAAGCCAGAGGGAAGACAAAGAATACATTGCACCGGCTTGGGGTCAGTAATGATTTTACAGCTTCAGGAGTTGTGTTGTTGCAATCTCTGCTCCCGGGTCATCCATAACTTAACGTAAATTTCGTAAACTTCGGTAAATTTCGTAAGCAGTGTGGGGGTGACCACAATTATTTTATGAAGCCACAGAGAGAAACATAAATAATAAATTTTAAAACTTCAGTAGCTGTTGTTGTGTATTAGGTGTCAACGATAGCCATGTGATGTGAGTATCAGTCACATGGAGGCAGTGCTTAAAAGCCTGAATTTTGCCTGAAACTCTCAGACTGAAGAAGTCTCTTGGAGGAGAGAGGAAACGTTTCATTAGAGAAGAACCCGTCCAGAAGACCTATACAATTTTTTTTTCTTTTTGATGTTTTACCTGGATTACTGAGATGCGTCAGGACGTTGTTGTGTATTGTTTTCACAGTCTCTAGTCCTGGTTCATCCGGATCTTTGAGTAAATTTTTTAAACTTCATAAGCGGTGTAAAACCCTACCTAAAAGCCTGGTTTCCATCCATTCTCAGTACTTTTAATTGTAAATCTTCACATCCTGGTTCACTTACACCTGTTCTCTGTAGTCATTTTGCCCTCTATTTTCTGTTCATCGTCCTCTGTTCATATATTCACTCCGCTTTCGCGCCATCTTCAGACTGGCACTGTGGATGTTTAGGCCATGTCTGGTTCTGTGCCATAACCATGTGATGAAAAGGTTTTTTGTGTTGTTTGTTTCTGTGTCAAATAATATAAAAGTAGTTCAGAAAAAAACAAAAATAAATAAAATTAATTTTCTTTGTTTGTTTTGTTTATTTAATTCTTTTGGACCCAGAAAATGCAGGAAGTTTTATTTCAGTGGTAGAGATTGTAATTATGATATAATTAGGGTATGATTATTTCAAGGGCATGCGACTAAAGCTTGTAAATATCCTGTTTTTTAAAAAGGCATATCTCTGTAAATGTTAGTCATTTTATAACCGTCTGTTCCGGTAAATCTCCTCTGGTTTTATAGGTTAAATATTACCTTATGTTTTGACTAATATTTGGAAGTTTATACAACAAATGATTATAATATTTCAGATCTGTAGATGTTTCCATTGCAGTTCCAGCCTTTATTCCTCAGTTTTCAGTTGTTGTTTTTTTTCTTCACATTTTAAAATTCAGAGATGGCTCTCGGCTTTTAACGCCGACCCTCAAGTTTAACCTCTCAGTTCATCCAAAATGTATTGAATGAAACTGGGGTCAGGACTTTGTGCTGACTCAGAAACTGATTCTGTATGAAGAGCTTTTTCTTTTTTTAAAGAGCCCGGGGGCGATGTCATACTGAAATAAAAAGAAGTCAAACAGAAACCACGGTGGAAAACTTGGTTCTGTGTGAAGTCTTCTCTGTTGGGCTTTAAGAAAATGGTTTAAGGTGAAATCATTTTTCTAAACCTGACCCGTGTATATTAACCTTAAAACCAGGAAGCAGGAAGGATGGAGGTGGTTTTAACTGAAATACTATTTCATTCCTCGTTTTATCAGATTAAAAGTTATATCTCTAATCAAATAATGAAGTTCTTCATCTTAAAAATGAGGTCAAACTCATATTGCCAGAATCATGACCAAAAGACTGAGAGTACAGCAGGAGATGGACCTACTGATAGGGGTCTCAATGGCAGTAATGAAGCTGTTGTTTTGGTCGGTCGCGGTGAAAGGTCTGAGTCGAAAGGCAAAACTGTCGTTTAACTGGTCCGTCTGCGTTCCAACCCTCACCTGTGGTCATGAGGTTTGGATCATCGAGAACCTGGATACAAACAGCTGAAATGATCTGAGGGAGAGGAGTTCCGTCATCAGAGGTGAGATCAAACAGGAGTCAGATGAGGTCGTTCATCTGACTCTGGATGCCTCACTTTGGAGGTTTTCTGGACTTGTCCCATTGAGAAGAGGCCCCAAGGCAGACCCAGAGCTCTCTGAAGGGAACACCTTGGAGGTTTGTCTCTTGGATCTGTTGCCTCCACAACCAGACCACCAGAAGATACCTGGTGCCGTGTAGTCTGGTAAAAACAGCCCCTTGTTCTTCACTTTGCTTCATACAGTAGTGATGTGCAGATCGATACTGAAATATTGATACTACCGATACCAGAACTTTATCAAAACTAAAATCAAAATATCGAAACTTTGATACTTCAGTTATTTCACATAATTATATCATTAACAGGAAAATAGTGGAAAAAAATAAATTATTCAAATCTGGTCTTAATCATATGTAGTTGGAGGGAACTACTTTTTCTTCCGCTTGGGTAATGCATAAGCACAGTGACACGTCAGTCAGTCACTCAGTCTGTAGATGTATGGCAGTACATTTTTACATAAAATCTGCTTCGTCTGACTGTAATTAAATTCTAGATGAGGGATTCCCAAACTTTTTCATGCTACGGCCCCCCAAACAGCATTAGCTCTGGCCAAGGACCTTCTTGCAAACCCACAAACAATACTAGAAAATATACAAAGTAACAACTTTACGAATATTTTTTCTCACTCTTATTCACTATTCAAAAACTATTATATTTCTTTAGAATAAGAATTTTAAATTGTTCTAAACAAATATAGGGTTAGGTTTAGAAAGACTTTTAAATAAATAAATAACTGTCATGTATTATTTATGAAGTGATTATTTGAAAAGCACTACTTTTTAAGATTTACCAGACACATTATGTGTGTTAACCACAAAGTATCAGTATCAAATCAGTATCACCGATACCAGCCAAATTTTACTTGGTATCAGTATCAGAAAGAAAATTAGCAATATCGAACATCACTATCGTGCAGAGGGTCTGGAACCAGGGTTGGGTACTGAAACGGTTCTAGTAAGGCACCGGGGCGAACATCAACAGTAGTACACAGACCGAAACATAACTGCTGCTTTATTTAGGTGCCTCAAAGAAAGCTGTTAATTTGCGCCCTCTAGTGTTCACTGTTAACAGCAACATCCTCGGCACACAATCTCCACAGACGCTCTTGTATGCGGTTCGACTCGGCTCGGTCTCAGCCCAATGCGTCTCTCCAAACGCGCTCGACAGCCGCGCTGTCTCAGAACCTCCTCTCCGATTTTGATGTCAGCAGAATTCTGCCCATGGATTAACTCTTGGATTGATTGACAGCAAATTTCCTCCTGGAGAGAGCTGCTTTTGTTTAAGAATACGAGCGTGCAGCGCGATACGACGACATGGTGAATAAAACTGCCTTTTTAGTGATCAAAAGGGCAGAACCTTTTTTTTATTTAAGAATTTTTTTTACACAACAGTTGAAGCCGCTGTGGACGGTCCACACATTATCACACCCACAGAGTGAGGGACACACTCCGTGGAGACATACGGACACTGAGCAGAACCGACCCAACCCAAAGTGAATCGAGTAGAACCGAGTTCATGGAGAGGGGCTAAACAGGTTCCGTTGCAGTTAACAGTTATATATTAAAGTCGAGATGTCGAAAGCAAAAGGGTCCAAAGTGTGGTGTCACTTTACAAATTAGGATGCAGAAACCTCCTCCACCTAGAGCCAGGCTAGGTATTGTACTACGTTTATGTCCGACACACTGCCTCAGCAGGATAAATGGTGTTGAAAATTGAAGCCAAGGGGTATAAACTCTTCTGTTTTGTTGGTCCAACAGTTTTATCAAAGCAACATTAGGGCTTTATATGCAGAGTAGATGCAAAGACAATGTCTAAATGCAGAAATGTTGGATATAATAGCCTGCACAGATGAGTTGGAAAAGAAAGATCATCACTTTTCACTTACTCCGTACGTAACTCCTTCGTGGCGGCAGGAGCCATGGGACGGGGAGACGCACTCTGGGCAGCATTTGTTCGAAGGAATTCTCAAATATTCACCCTTTGGGAGAGAAACAAACACGTAAATAAACCCGTCCTGACTGAAGAATACACACAAAACACCCAGACAGAGAAGAAAAGATTTCAAGCTCAGCAGATCTATTTCCATTGAAATTAACTGACACCGGGGCTGCGTAATAATAAAAACACAGGACTTTTACAGGCACAAATAAAACAGCACATTTTAAAATGCACCAGACAGTAATTGAGGCAGACTGGCAGGAAGGAAAAAAAAAGCAGTGACAGTCAGGAGCTCGTTGTTTATTTGAATAAAAATGTTTTTGGGTTTAAGGAAGAAAAAACAACAAGAATGAAGGGATACAATTTGTGTAAGGTGAGAGCAAACATCCCCACAGTGATTCAGCAAACACACTGTTAATTGAAAGTGGAGGAGGGGCAGCAGAGACAAACATCATGCAGAAAAATAAAATTCTGTCAGGGAAATAAAACAAAACGAAGTGAGCTGAAGCTTTAATAGAGGAAAATTTTAGGTGTTTATTGGCTCCTCCGCTCAGCGTTAATCATATTTTAGCACTTTCAGCTCAGACAAAAAGACTTTTGACAGCAAGTTGCAAATGAACGATACAACAACATGTTTGGGTTGTTAAATTCAGCACTGAATATTTTTACACTTTCTTTTTTCTGTGTTGCTGAACTTTTTATGTGGAAGTTTTTTTGGTTTTCTGCCCAAATTTTATCCAATGTGGCAGGTCAGTGGAACAAGAAGATGCAAATCCAGAAAAGTTTTAAAATCTGAAGGTTTATTCTAGAATTCAAGTTTACTTCTTGCTGCTGTTTAACATCCATCCATCCATCCATCCATCCATTTTCTTCCGCCTATCCGGGGTCGGGTCGCGGGGGCAGCAGCTTCAGAAGGGAGGCCCAGACCTCCCTTTCCCCAGCCACTTCTTCCAGCTCCTCCGGGGGAACTCCAAGGCGTTCCCAGGCCAGCCGAGAGACATAGTCCCTCCAGCGTGTCGTGGGTATTCCTCTGGGTCTCCTCCCAGTGGGGCATGTCCGGAACACCTCACCAGGGAGGCGTCCAGGAGGCATCCTTATCAGATGCCCGAGC